GTTCAACAGCCAATTAGTATAAGTGTGGTTGAAGTAAGAAAACCAGGCTGGGTTCAAACAGAAAGATTTTGAAAGCAGAGAAAAACTGTGCATCTTATAATCAGCATGACTTTATCAGATGACAATACGAATACTAAAAATCCAGACTAAAAATAAGGCGTAGGTTCTTTCCCATTTGTTAGCCGGCATGACGTTAAAACGACAAATCAAAGAATTCAACTTTATATATATAACTTATATAGGAAAATGGTGATGATTAAAAATTACACCATTCCAGGCCCTTTAATTTGCTTTCCACATATTTAATATTTCCAATAATTAGCCAGTTCCAGGTCGACGGGTTCAAACAAAGATTTAAAAAGCAGAGAAAACTGTGCACCTTATAATCAGCATGACTTTATCAGAAGACAATACGAATATTAAAAATCCAGGCTAAAAATAAGGCTTAGGTACTTTGATACAGTTACGAACACGCGATGTTGCGGGTGTGTTCTAGTATAACTTAAACGTCCACAATTTTGAGTGTCACTGCCAAAGAATATATTTTGGGGTCCCTAACAAATATTGCCTCTGCAGCTGCCCATACGAGCCCACTATTAACGAAATCTGCAGAAGGGGTCTTTTACATATATGTACTATAGTTTAGTTGTTATCTCCCTTTACGTTTAATATGACGGTGCTAGCTATGAAATTTAATAATAATTAAACTACAAGCCATTCGCTGTATTTCAAAAGGCTATCTGTTTCTTCAGAAAATAACCATACTTTGCGTAGTGATTAGGTAAGCAATCCATTAATTTCTTTTTTACACGAGACTCAGATGAAGTCCAAACAACAAAAAGAATCAACAATACTGTATACAGTTCTATAATCAATCATCATTCAAAAATGTTAAAAAGAGGTACACCAAAATAATAACTCGCAACTCGACTTTCGAAACTTTTGTGACTCGCAACTCGATACTCGACAACAAGTGAATCTCAGGATATATTCTGTATGATTTGTCCGCATACCGGCTGGCACCTTGCAGGTCGATTTTTCAAGGTAAACTTTGATCTCACATTTTTACTTGAGTTTTCGGCCAAACTATTTTAGAAACATGATGATTTCATCCTTGCCATTTCGTGAATAATCAAATTTTAAGCATTTTTCTTAGACTTACACATCATTTTTGTAAATATCTTCCAAAAGAAGTTTTGAAAGGCACGTTAGATTTAGATCCAAGACGGAAACAGACTTGATGATCCGCAAATTTGATATGATATGTTACTTTAAATCTACAACTAAGAGAAGCAATTATAATCAAAAGGGTAGAAATCAGGTGGTGCAAATCCCATGAAAAAAATACTTAGGATTTAGCCATATATAGTTTTCAGAAACAAAGTGGCGGAAGAAAAAAAAATAATCGGAACTAATTTACGGAAAGGGGGGAAGACCAAACTAGAGTAAACCAAGAAAAAAACGAGATCCAGGATACTAAAGCAAGATTTATTTCTTTTGCTTAAATGTTTTGTGCTAAAATATTGCTTGTATTTTGTACATATAAAATATTTTGTTTCCTAAATATTGTTAAATTTTTTTATGTTTCTGGGATCACCATCTCGGAAAACGATTTCAGAGCTAAAATATACGTTATCAATATTGTTTAGAATCATCTGCACCAAATAATTTACTATAAAAAAACAACAACAAAAAACCCCAAAAACAGAATATAAAACTTTTCTAAACTAAACAACTTTCCCCACAACACCGCCATTTTGCACAGACACATACTTATATTTTATTTATTTATATTAGTAGAAAAGAATAAAACAAATTGTCACAGAAACGATGTATATACATAGGCCCTACCTAATTTGTTATCTAAAACTTAAAGTGTTAAATACTTGCTTGTAATTTGTGCATCTGAAAACATATTCTCTGCATAGTTTAAGACATTTTTTTTCAAATATGTACCGTTCCCTCCAATTTAGCATTACGTTCTCAAGTATATTCATTACTTCCCTTTTTAAGCTCGTCATTTTTATGTAAAACCTTCTACATATTTAAAAATTTTAGATTCATATATTATATAAGACAAACAGATTGAAGGATTGATATAAACTAAAGCCTTTAAGAAGCATGAGTCTCTCACCTAAGTCTATGTGCATCTTCAACAATAGAAACTCTCCAACATTGTGACTAGATTATAATTCATGATTTAAATCTAATTTTTGTTGATTTTGTATAGCTGGTAATTTTTATTCTGTCTACGTTTTCTATCTTCTATAGGTTTTGCACACAACCTAAAAAAAGGTGAAAATAAATCGTCATTTAATTGCAATAACTCTTGTCAGGTGTAAACTGAAGACTTTACATTATATCACTTATTTGTAGATCTTGTCTTGCTGATAATTTTTTTGCTTTAAATTGTTTTTGTTATAGTTTGACAGAGAAAAGGCAAACACGTGAAAATTAGTAAAAAAACATTATTAAAGGACAATACCATCAACAAGGAATCGACTTAGGATTTCGGTCACTTGCCTTATTTGTAGATCTTGTCTTGCTAATAATGTTTATTTTTTTAAATTTTGTATCCATCTATTCTAACTTTCAAGATAATAGGCAAAATCACAAAAAAAATAAAATTGGTAACAATCGTCACGTAATAGTTGAAACTGATAACAAAATTGTTATCAAGTTTGATATTGACGATTTTCATTTTTGCCGTTCATGAGTTATGGCCCTTGATAGATAAGAAAACGGGCATATAATGTGGCATGTCAAAACAGCCCGACAGCACCTTTTGAAATAAAGAAAACCGAGTTTGCTGTCATCTTGACAGCTCGTTACTTGCTATAATGTTTTAGTAATTTGTCTACTTTGCTAACTAGACTTTCATTAGTTGCTGCATAATGGTATTTTAATACTTTGTTGTTTTGCTTCATTGACTAATATTATTGATTACATGTAAATGTGTATTTTTGCATTAATTACAATATTTATTTTAACTAGAACTTATATAGTGCAAATGTACTTGTTTCATAGACACGACAGAGTTATCTTTCTTTGTACTAGTATTTTTAGTATTATATTAGTGATTATTAGGATCTTTATGTTTATCTACGTTGGTATAGTTGATTGTCATCTGAGACCCTTAATTGAAGAACCTATATTCAACCGAGGTTCAATATATACTCATAATAATTGGATACAGAATAAGTTTTTTTGTCGTGTCTTTTCTGTTACTCAGAATATTACGTCTTATATCGATTAATGTTTTTCGTTTTATCTTAAACCAGTCTTGTTAAGGAAGTCACAAAAATACGTGTAATATTACATGATTAATCATTTGAACCACAAGAGCTAATAAAACTATTTTCTTCATTCTTTTAAAGTTTTATTTTGCAGTGGAAACATAATGGTAATAAAAACAATGAAACAGTTAACTGTAATTCAAGAACTTTACAATTACAAGTCATGGTATGTTAACATCAGTATCATGTTATATGAACATACTGGGACTTTTGTATTGTACTATAAAATATCAAATATTCATCATAATATATTTTTATAAAAAATGTCACATTCCAAAACAGACAAGAAAGTGATATTTTGTGATGGTAAGTTTTAAAAATGAAGTCAATGTACAGAAATCATAAAGAATTCCGGTTAAAACAGCTTAACATTGATGCAACAATAAACTGTACAATGAACCAACGTGCAAACAAAGCAAGCAATCTAATACAATATTTTCTTTCGTGTAATGTGCACATCTTAGCACGACAGGTGCCACATGTGGAGCAGGATCTCCTCACCCTTCCGGAACACCATTTTTTGATGGGGTTCGTGTTGTTTATTAGTCGTTAGTTTTCTATGTTGTGTTTTGTGTACTTTTGTTTGTCTGTTTGTCTATTTTTTTTAAGGATGTTTGCTACTCTGTTTCAAAATAACAAGCTTTTTAAAAGACTGTTATAAATTGATAGTATATAAATAACAGAACTAAAAAAGCATAAAAAAATTATAGGTCCGTGTCCTTGTTTTTGAGATATGAGCCATTGCAAATTTGGCGGGAAATGATTCTCTCTAGATTTTTCATACATTAAGCGTTGACATCTTTTTTCTTTCAAAAACTATGAAAAAATAACAAGGATTTTATAAGATTTTCAAATATGGCCTTTTGAACTATATGTTATAAAATTATGAAAAGAAAAGTAGAGGTTAGCGGGCATAATTTTTTAATTGCACTACATAGATAAAACCAGAGGAATCCGAATACCTGACAAAAATTCAAAAACAAGAGGAGCAAACATCCTTAAGCCATGGCATTGTCAGTTTATTTTTGACTTATCAGTTTGAATGTCATTTTGGTATCTTCCGCCTTTAGATAATAAAATTGAGAATGGAAATGGGGAATGTGTCAAAGAGACAACAACCCGACCATAGAACAGACAACAGCAGAAGGTCACCAACAGGTCTTCAATGCAGCGAGAAGTTCCCGCACCCGGAGGTGTCCTTCAGCTGGCCCCTAAACAAATATATATACTAGTTCAGTGATAATGAACGCCATACTAAACTCCAAATTGTACACAAGAAACTAAAATTAAAAATAATACAAGACTGACAAAGGCTAGAGGCTCCTGACTTGGGACAGGCGCAAAAATGCGGCGGGGTTAAACATAAGACTTTTTAAGAATAATATATAACAAAAGTCATTTCACAATTGCCTATGACATTGTTATTTCTACAATGTGATCATTGATATTTCTATTCCTATATAGTTACTGTTCTCAACAATGATGCATGTTTGAATATAGTTCAGATCAGTAAACAATCAATGGAAACTAATCATAAACACAATTATATTTAAATTTTATGTTTGCACATGAATATATCATGTTTGACAAATTATGAATGCGTCTCATGTTAAGTTAATTTAATAACAATTTCGTTAAATTTTGTTATAATTTTTAATAGTTTTGTATGGAAAAGGATAAACGTTCTTCTCTTATTGTCATTAAAAACAGATATCTATAATAAATGCAAATGAAGACATAAAACCAACAGCTGACTATATTTTTAATATCAACTGCAGCACAGTACCATGTCAATAATACACAAATTGAATATTCTTTTATACATTTGTTGGTATCATATTCTTATTTAAGTGTTTTATTTAAAAATCTCATCAATTTTGTACTTGACTTGGCATTTCAACTATTTTAAGCGGAAGTGTTGATGCTTCTGTAGACAAGTTGGGCATTTTGCATGTTTACCGTTGTACAGTAAGTGTAGTATCGGGAAAAAAAGGTATATGCTAATTTGGAATAAACGACAAAAAATTGTAATAGTAATAGTTGTCATTGCCATACAAAATAAGTTTACCGCTAATTTAGCCATTTTTTATTCAAACATTAGGATAATTTAAGATACTAAAATTTAAAATTCAAGTACGGGTTACGATATTTCTTCGGAGGAACCGTACTACATGGTATAGTTATTAAATTCAAAGATATTTTTGCGAAATCGAAATAAGAACCTCGTATGCAAATCTAAAAGATTCTGGAGACAAAAGATACATTTAAAAATACATAAAACATAGTTTGCCGTAGTTGACGCTGCTGATGACTAAAACAACATTTTTACCAGGAGAATATCATTAAGATTTAACAATTCTAGTATCCAGCAGTTCTGTATGTTCATTTTAGAAGTTTGATTTATGTTGTAGCTAGTAGTCTGTTTTCTGAAAGAAAGATATTCGAATGATAAAAATACCCATGCTTTTTCCTTTGAAAGAATTACTGATAAGTCAAACATTATTTTCCTTCTGCATGTTTAACAATTGTAAATAGTATACTAAGTTCACAATTATTTTAAATTATAATTTTATATATTAATTTATATTATTAATTAACGACTGAACTATACAGAAATTTGAGGCAAACAGGAGTAACAAAAGCGCTTTGCAGGCATTAGTGTATTTAGTCTTTCGTATTTTTTTCTGTGTGTTTTAAATCGATCTTATGAGGTAACAGATTTTTACAGTTTGCTCTTATGCTGTTATGCTAAGGCACTTTGCCATGTTACAGGAGGGTTGAGCGTTGGTAGACATTTCAAACCCCGCCTCATTCTGTATGTACACGTCAAAACTTCTCAGGAGCATTAGGTCAGTGATTGTCGTTTGCTGCTGTCTATTTTATTTGTTTTTCTTTTATAGTTTTCTTTATAAATCAGACTGTTGATTTTCTCAGTTAAATTGACTAACTTTTTGTTTTAGCTTGCTATACGGTATGGGGTTTGCTCATTGTTATAGGCCTTATGGTTATCCATAATAGCTTATATTCACGCGATTTAGTCTCTGGTGGATAGTTGTCTCATTTTAAATCATATCACATCCTCTTATTTTCATAAAGCAGTAATTATACATATTGTAATTTCATGAACATTATCTTTTGAACTTTTGAGGAAATTAACTTATGCAAAAGAAAAATTCACTATTATCAAAATAGATATACGCAACAGTAGCTTACCGATAGTTAACATACCTACTCCTATATCGAACACACATGTTGTCGGTTTCTTTAACTGTATTCTTACTGTTAATTCATTCCGTCAAATGTTAGTCTGTATATCTGTCTATTAGATAATTCTTCACCAAAGTAAATCCATCTAACAATGCATGCAAGAATATTTACTAAGTGAACTTAAAGCAACCCCCCCCCCCCCCCCCCCTAAAAAAACACAAAAATACAAAATAGACTACCTGAACTAAATTTGCTTTACACAGTTTTTTCTTGGTTAGTATTCTATTCTGCAATATACTTTACATACCATTGATACTGTTTACTGTGAATTTCAAGGTTACAATCATGTTGTGCTTAAGACCTTATCATCTATGAATGGCAGTTGTTTGTGCTAAGAGTCTTTGACTAGTAGCCTTTTGAAAGTTTAATATGATCGGTACTTAACATAGTATGGTTCGGTCTCTAAAAAAATTTATCCTTTAAACTGCAATGAACAACAGTTATAAACGTTTACCTTAAACATAACTTTTCTAGAAAATATCATTAAACTTGAAAAAGTCATGTAAAAGATATTTTGCTTAAATTGGTCTTGAATGAAATTGTTGCAATGATAGTCGGTCTCGCTTAAGTTAAACACTATATTTCGGTTTACTTAGTATGTTCTTACAGCATTGCCCTTTTATCTAGTATAAATATGACAATTTTTTTGTGTTGGTTTTGATTTTATTACTGTTTGTATGTTTGACAACCGTATTAAAAAAAACTAAGATACTCATTTATTAAGGACGCGTTAGTATAATTACTGATTTTTTTTAATATAACAGGTCAATAAAACAACAATGCAACACATAAACCTCCAGAGTATTCTTATGATCATTGTGTACAGACACAAAACACATGACCATAAATGTTTTCATATGTGTGAGTAAATGTACACTATGCATTACTTAAATTACTACACAAGTAATATGTACCATCACAAGACAACCCAGTGGCAAAGTAAATATCACCAGTACTAACATCAAGGATATAGATGGCCAGATAATATGCAAACTTGATAAACAGACTTGTTTAACAACACATCTGGAAGAACTAAGGATACAGACTATCTACCTTTCTATTCATATTGGTGGTTGACTCGGTAACGAAGAAGGCTACAATGGAAAATCATGGCATACAGTGGGGACTAACAAGACTTTTCTCATACACACGAACATATGCAGCAAACGACTGATAAAGTTACATCTGAAGCAGCAAAAGTAGGACTGAAAATAAATGCAAAGAAAGCTAAAGTAATGAAGGTAGCTATAAATAACAAGAACGTAATAACAGTGAACGATAAATAACCGGAAAAAGTAAATTCATTAAACTATCTTGGTAGTAGAATCAATGCAGATGGGAATATCGAAGTAGAAGTCAACATTTCTATTGGTAAGGAAAAAACAACAGAATTTCTAGAAAGACTAAGATAAGATTGTGTGAGAGCAATGTTAAATCAGTTTGCTATACAGTTCAGAAACATAGAGAACAACTACAAAATTAGAAAGCCGAGTTAGATTTGAAGGACGCTGTTTAAGACGAATAGTTAACATCAGATGGCCAAACGTAATTTCAATTAGTGAACTATCAAAAAGAACAGGTATTATGAATATACTAAATGGGTTCATGAGAAGGAGGTGGACATAAATTGGACATATATTGAGAATTGGTAACAACCGGCATGTGAAAAAGTGGGCAAGAAAGACCTATATACACATGGCGATGAGACATAACAGCAGAGATAAAAGATATGATTACACCTGGAATCAGATTAAGAAAATAGCGAAAAATAGAACGAACTGGAGGTCTCTTGTTGTTGCCTTATATGTTTAAGAATATGAAGAGAATTAAGTAAGTAAGTAAGTACTATTTAACAAGTACATGATTGAAGCTACCCTGTTATTTTAGGAATTAAAAACAAATTCTTGTATTCTTTCCTTATAGCATAAACGCATACAAAGTCCTGAAATATAAACTAGTTCTACTGGTATCACGACATGTCATCTGAATATCCAAGCATATTTTCATATGTACAGTTACATGTGTTAAAATAGCATGAAATTCAACTTTGAATATAAACTCACTTGATAGATGCACAGGTCAATTGCCTTACATTTGTGTGTATATCTCAAATATATTTCAAATGTGATGTGACGCCAACCGAAGTCGAAATCAATCTGTGTTATATGTTAATAAGCATTGTGTATAAGTTTCATAACATTTGGTTTAAGGAAACTAAAGTAAGAGAACGGAAACAAATTGTTCGGACGTTCGGATTGTCATGCAAAGTTTTTTTTATCGTAAAGGGGATAACATAAGATATATTAATAACAGAAACATGAAATCAAATTAAACAATGTTTGTATGTACAATACATAAACTGAACTATTAGAGTATAGTATGCCTTTACTTATTTTATAGACATATGCTAGTAGGTTACTTTGAGAATACCAGAAAAATGATGACGTCTACCTCTTATACAGTTTATAATTAAACCTTTTCAGACCAGGTGCATAATATCCATATTTATGATGTGTAACTGTACATGTAGTTTCAAAATCCTAAAATGTCACTATGTAGACATATTCAAGTCGGACTAGTTGAAAAAGGAACGTTCACATTTCAAATTGTTAATTTTTTTCATATTTTCCCTTTTAACACAAAGGAATGTTGACATTTTTATGTTGACACAGTTATTTTTTAACAGTTTAAAAAAATTAGGAGAGGTGGTATGAGTGGAAACTAGACAACTACCCCTCCAAGTTCAAAGTAATTGGATGTAAGCAATTATAGGCAACCGTACGGCCTTCGACAACGAGAAATACCCATACGGAATAGTTGGCTAAAAAGACCCCGACAAAAAATATAAAACCATTCAACATGTTCAATGTAGAAAACTAACGGCATAATCTATAACAAAATAATTTACGAAAAACAAATATGACAGACACGAACCAACGACAACAACTGAACTACAGGCTCCTTACTCGAGACAGGCACATTAAGAATGTGGCGGGTATCCTGTGCATGTTTCTATCACATATAAATAAACAATATAAAAATAAGGAGATGTGGTATGATTGCCAATGAGATAACGATTCATCAAAGTTCAAATGAAGTGGATGTAAGCAACTATAGGCAACCGTATGGCCTTCAACAATGCTAAAAACACATACCGTCGGCTATAAAAGGCCCTGACATGAAAAATATGAAACAATTTAATTGAAAAAAACTAATGGACTAATTTATAACAAAACAGTTGACGAGAAACAAAAATGACAGACATGAACCAACGACAACCACTGAACTACAGGCTCCTAACTATGGACAGGCACATAAAGAATGTTGCGGGGTTAAACATGTTTATGAGCGCTCAACCCTCCCCTAACCTGGGACAGTGGTGTAACAGTACAACATAAGAGCAAGCTATAAAACTCAGTTGAAAAAAGCTTAACTCATCAGATGGATACAAATAGAATTACATCTAACAAAAACAAAAAATGGACGTGAACGAGTACTTGTACATCCCAAAAACAAATAGACACTAAGTACAGATCTGAGAGTACTCACAGTTACTGACAGCTATTTCAAAGCCAATAACGGCTAATGAAAAAAATCATGTATCTAAGACTAAAATCTCAATCAGTACATATCCGACATCCAATGGATCTAGTGTAAAGACGTCATTAACAGTCAGAGAAAAACATGACCTTGTGCAATGTAAACTATAAGTATCGACAGATTGTAGTACCCTAAAAGTACCTATGTGTAATATATAGTATGGTTTTAATTTACTGATAACAAAATTAATATTTACACCAATAAAAACAATATTCAAAGATTTAATTACAGTGTTGAATAGGTAACCTTTTAGAATAAGTTTATTTAAAGGATTGATAGGTTTACCCGGATCGTATCTAAATTTTTGGGTTCGGTTTACAACATCACCTTAAAATTTAGGATGTTTTATTCCGTTTGAAATCAGTTTTCTACAGGTACAGCCAAACTTGTAGACCAAATCTTTGTATCTATGAAAAAATTAAGTAAATGTTTTAAGTAATTTGTGGTAGCGAAATCCCTGACTTAATAATTTACTAGGGAAAGAAAACTCATCCATTTTGTCGTAAATTTTGTGTGTGATTGGTAGGTTGTATGTTACGTCATTTTCACCTAACATCGTACTTCTGGAGTATATGCTATTCCATATATAAGGATTTTACAAAGCTTTACTATGTTTAGATATTTAGTGTACATCTAATAAAGTGTTTGTATGATACCCACAGAAGTTATCATTCGATTTTCGTAACCATTTTATAAAATCTTTTTTTTTCGATAAAGATTCGAATGAATAGTGAGATAAACTTGCTTCATTGGCTAATAACTGCAAAAGATATGCTGAAATAATGAACACAATTTCCAAATATATCAACCAGTTGATAGAGTCGATGTCCAAGTCAAAATTAAGGAAAAGGGTTTGCAAAGTTTTTAAAAAGTGATGCCTGTGTAAGTCTAGTTCTAATCTTGAAAAATACTTGAAATACTCGTACTATAAAACAAAACTGGTTTGCCTGGCTCATTATACTTACTTTGCTCATTCTTGTAATATGATCGTCTCTTCCCTGTCTTGTAGTCGTAGATTTATTGACACCAAACAAAATTTACCAACATACTTCTCTAAATTCGTGTTGCTCCTTTTGCGGTTCAATCTATGCAGTAAAATGAAAAAAATAAAGTATGCTAAATTTTGTATCAAATGGGCACGCTTAACATTTTAACATTAAACATAGAACAATGATCAACAGATTCCATACAGTTTTCTTACAAAAAAAAATGTATGTGTACACAAGTTTTGCGACGATTTTGAATGAATCACGGGTTTCGTACATATAAGTGTGGAGTTAATGTATTTATGTCAAGTGATACTTATTTACAAATATGAATAAAAAAGAATGCAAACGACAATAAAATCGTTTTACTTTATTTGATAAGTAAAATGGTTTTTGTTGATAAAAACATGAAGAACATTTTACTCAATATATTACAGTGGTTGGACATGTCCATACATTTAATTTGGTGAAACATGATGTAGTTGGGATGGTGTCTTTTTAATTTATATCGGTCATTTCAATATTACAAACCTTTGATTGTACGAATATGGTCGCCCAATTAAATGCATGTACCTGGACATTCGTCATAAAACAAAATAAATAAAAACATATTTAAGATATATTGCAAACATTAATTAGCTTATACTTATAATAAAAAGTATATAAAATTATATAAGTACCACGTCTATAAGCGTAGGAAATTCAGAAACTTAAACAAATTTTCTTACTTATTGATAAAGCCTTTCATTTGTTTAATGTAACTGTGTACAGTTTGACAAACACATTAAATTAACAGATGTAGTTGGTTGACACAATTATGTATGTATTTATTTAGTCATTATATCAATTAATTCAAGAAGAATTGCAAACATGCAATCACTTGTATTTAGATTATTTGACAACATCGGAAATGCATTTGCTGAAAATTGAAAATTAAAAAAATAAATAAAAAAGCGTTTATAATTCATGAGCATACATCGTTGGAATAAGTAAAACATTCTAATACATATAAGCTTGAAAGCGTCGGTTAGTACACATTGTTATTAAAAAAATCATGTAAAATATCCAGTAATCAATATGATAAATAGATACACAAATCGATCGCCAAAATTTTTAAATGTTCTTGAACTACAATTATAAATCAATTTATGGTTTTCATGAACATTGTAAACATTTAAAAAGATAAGTATGCATTTCATCTTTTAACAACACACAACAACAACTATTGATACTATTGCAATATCACTTGTACAACAAATTCTGTTATTGAAGGATGGTTGGAATGGTACCAATCTAAATAACAGTTAAAGAGATGCTATATTTCTTCAATGTTTAATTTGTCGGTGTCAATTTTTTCTCAGTTTCGAGTATCTTTAACAGGCTGAGTTTGAGTTTAAAATTTTGCAAGGTTAGTTATAAAGTTATGTCTCGGTCGATGATGATAACTATTTAATAATAATTCCATGATAAAGTGTATTTGCTTAATTAATGATATATTCTTACCTTCTTGTTTATAAAATAAAACTCCATAGATCAGTATTGTTTCTGTGTGAACAACAGCTGGGATTTGTCCTGAAGATTTGTGTACCTTAAGAATTTCATTAGAACTTGTGTAGAAGACGTAATCACCGCCGATGTCAATTTCCCGGTTATCAATTTTTACATTGGTGCTTACCACTGTTTTGACATCAGACCCATTATACATAACCGATTTTAAGTCACCTGTGTCATATTCCATCCAATAAACTCGCTTGTCAACAAGATCTGAAATAACAAACAGATAAAATGAGTAACCTACATTGAAAACAAATCACATGTATTGCATTCCTTCTTATTTGTGTGTTAATGTTTTTAAGAATGTTTCGAAATCATCAACTAGTAACTATTTGCTTCATAATGGATCTGAATAAAAAAGAAAATAAAAGGATATGGAGTAAATGTACATGGGACAAAATCACACACAATACATAGAAAAAAGAAAAACATATCAATGAACAGGGCTTTTTATTCCTGTTCTTTTTTTTTCATCTTTTTAACAAAATCATTTTATCGACTGTTATGCATGCAGACTTTATTCCGAGAAATCGTGATAATTACTTTATGATCTGATGGAACATATTCAATGTATACGTTCAGTAGTCTATTTTGAAATGTTGATGTTTTTATCTTTTTAATGACACAGATACAATACGGTCACATTGAACGATAATAGTTCGAATTATTTAACCTTTCTTTGGATAATATACCTATTTGTATATCTATCAGTCGTGATGTCAGGTTTATTACTACCTGTTTTTCTTTTCCGTCAAATCTCACCCTGAGCAATGCATCACTTGTTTCTGTACTATAGTAGATCCATCTAAAATGAAGTTTAAAGTAAATTTTGAAAATATTTTTTTTATATTGCCTCATTTTGAAATACGAAAAGCAGTTATACATTGTACTAAATAAAAGAGGCAATAATGTTGGTTTTTTTTAATGAAAGCAAATCCAAATAGTTTCCACTGATTTTTCAAATAAATCGACATAGTTAAACGCGGACCACGAAGAGGACCCTAAAATGAACAGTCTTACAAAAAAAGAATATACACATTACCCTTTGCTCAATAAGGAAGCGGAGTAATAGGACACTATTTGACGTTATAAAATGTGTGCAATGTTATATTCAAACTAGCCAATGTTAAATAAAAATCATTGATTCAGGAGCTGATATTTACATGGATAAGGAGACTGTTTAACTGAAATTCAAAATTAGTGATGCTAGTCTCTATTGTGAAGCAAATATATTTTAGTGTAGACAAGTCATCAAATAAATTTTGACATGAAGTCTTCGACGCTTGAAAAACCCTTAATCAATTTAGAAACAAAGATGTATTAATGAAGTTCTATCTTATCCTTTGTGGGAGGGAGTAAACATTATTATTGTTGATTCAAGTTTTTCAATGCATGACTTGATAGATTATTAAGGCAAATATATGTTATTAAAAGATCTCAAGCAATGCTACCGTTCAATATCAGTATTGTCTTTGAATCGAAGAGAGATTGAAAAGACATATAAGAGGTATTGAATGAGAAAAATGTTACTGTTGTTGCAAAGGAAAATGAGGGAAAACCATTTTAACATGACTGGTATTATCTGAAAAAGAAAACAAAAACACCCTCCGTGTACAAAATTGGAAAAGCACAAAGCTTTGCTGGTTCCACATGTTCCAATTTAGAAATATTTGTAGATTTTGGGAAACTAATACACTATTTTACAAGATGAACATAGTCTCTGGCATGCCCTAAACATTTGGATTTTTGAAATGACAAATATTGAACTGCCTTTGAATATCAATCTTATTTTAATTGGTAACTTCAAAAATATTAAATTTAATTTTGTTAAAAATAAGGTTATTTTGCTAACGAAATATTATATTTACCGAACAAAATTGCAAAAAGTATTGCCACATTACTGCCAAATTGTTTTTTAAAGAAACACATAAACTTAGAAAAAAATCCATTCTATAAATCACTCTGAAGAAGAATATAGCTACTTTAGAAGTCGCAGGTTCAACATCCCCATTATAGACTAACAAATAAATGTTGTTTTTGTTGTGTTTGATCACATTTCATTTAAACACCACAAATTTATATCCAAGAACGAAATAAGGTTCACTTCAATTATTTATATTTAACTTTATGTTATACCAATATCACATTGCTTTTTTGATTTCGAATTTTCTTTCTGTGAATATGTCATTCTGTATACCCTTTTTATATGATGGGCTAGCCTATTTGTTACAATAAAGCAAATACATTATAAGAAAGAAAGAAAAAAACCAAAACATTCAATAAGCTAGAGTAACTAAAATAACAAACCTATTATGTGTGTCTAATGTAAGTGCAATTGGTAAAGTTTCATTAACAATAGTGGTCACATCGGATCCATCGGAATTACATCTCCTTATATTTCCTAATGTGTTCAATTCTGTCCAGTATAGATGACTGTTTTCTGAGTCAAAAGCTACGTAATATGGACGGTTTGTAGAAACAACAATTTCAAAATTTACCGTTAGATCATTTGGATAAAGAAATCTGAAAATGAGAGAATCTTTTTAGGCGAAACTATAGAATAAATATTGACCTTCGATTTGGGTTAACGTAACTGTTGTTGTTCTTTAGAAATACAGGTTTCTGTATCTACGTACTCATTTTTTTGGTTTAAACAATCTTATTTTTCAATATGATAATACTGCTCTATAGGTAATAGAGTTATGCCTAGATATAAAGGAGATCTTTTTCTTTTTACAATAATCTCTTTACATCTTTAACTGTTTTTCTAGTTAAAAAACTTTTTTTGTTTTTGTTTAATTTCAATCTTCTTTACTTTTTGTTTTGTTTGCATGTAACATGGATTTCATGATGGCAACATATTGTTTTGTTTTATATATATATAAAATTAAGAGAATGTCAGTCTACAAAAATTATAATTACTAGATAATGCCAGTCTAAAAACATACCTATATTAATAACTAATTACAAATTGACGATACCTAACTATGGCATTTGCAGTAAGTCTTGAACTATACACATATCGTTCTTTCACATCGTAAGCTAAGGAATGTGATTCTGTACTTTGATAAGCTAGTTCTTTCACGACTCCTGTATCCAGATCTATCTCTTTTATGTTACTAGCTGTGGAAAACAACAATTTTTCTTGTCTACCTGCAATGGCAAAATCTTTAAGGATGAAAAATACTAGTAAATTGCAACTAGTATTTACGAAACTAAATATAGAGTCAGGAAAACTGTACACTCAAAGCAAACTACACTTCAAACAATGTTAAAAAGCAGCATTCTTATCGGCACCGTATGTGATTCTCACCTTAATAGAAAAACAAAGGATAATTGGTATCCATCTACGACACAAAATAAGTACATGCACAGCAAAAGACAAACAAAAAGCAAAAAAAGAAAAAAAAAGACAGCGGTTTAATTGCTGATCCTCATCTAAAAGTCACAATTAGGCCTTCATCACGGGATAAAAAAAATCTCACCTCGCTGCAATTTTAAGACGACCCCTAGCACCGGCTTGAGCGGAATTCTTTACAAATATTATTTAGATCCGTTGTAAGATGTAACGCCACCAAATCGGGCTTGTATTACCCCATGTATTACTATACAGATAATGTACTTTCACAAATCATTCGAAGTTTGGTGATTATGTTGAACGCATCTATTAAAAAGTGTGCTATAGAATTTAAAATAAAGGGTACCACATATACAATTAAGTTTGAAAATTGACAAGCAGAGTCGGTTGAGAATAATCATATTCACCAAATGGTTTGATTTCATCAATGAACAATGATATTTTATATCAACATTAGTTTGGGGATAACTGAGCTGGTAATATCCTCGATAACAAAAAGTAACTAGCAGATGCATTAATAAGTGGTTGTAAGAACTAATGAACGAACCATGTACCAGGCTTTTAATTTATTACACGAGCCGTATGTTTATATCAGACACTTCTGTAGCACTGCAATCTAAACAGTTTGAAGGACAAATGAAATACGAAGTTGTAGTTATCGACGTCGTCAGTGGCAAAATTGTTTGTGAAACATCTGTTCAACCTATGTATGAATATTAGTGATATTTTCCCTTGTAGAATGTAAATCGCACTTGCGAGGTCGTGTAATATAAAAATATGCTCGAGAAAATATTCACCAATATTCATCCAATAATCCTATATTATTTTAACACATAGAATCTAGGAAAGATAATTAGAACATTTATGGACAATGAAACAAAGTTTGCGTTATATGTGTTCAACCTTAATGTTTTTACCTGGAATTAAGGAATTACTTGACAAAACGGAACACTCCCAATTGCAAACATCAATTATTATTATCTTTTATATATAAATAATACTTACCATATATACAACAGACTGCGTAAAATGATAATTGTATGTATAGCAAAGGCTGATTTAATCTCATGTTGTTTCAATGGTGACTGCAATTTTGATGAACACAAACTCCTGAACGAATATAAAATTAGATAACAAATAATTGTTAACTAGTTCACTTACTTCTATTAATGAACTTGTTTTCAATTTTCTTAATATAACATATGAAAACAATGGAGTTAACTTTCATTTGAGTGTCAAAACTCTATAGATGTTTTGAATAAATTATGTACTTTCGATGATCCGTTCCATCGGTTGACAGTTTCGTTTTTTCGACTCTGTACTCTACACATCCACACACTGTATCAAGCAAAATTTCTCTTATTTAAATAAATGGTCATTTTCAAAAATCTGGTTGCACATTATTATCTGAAACTCATATAAAAAACCTTCTTATGTACGCAAAAAGGGAAATTGCAAGATACATTGTATACGTATTACAATTGTGATGAAATAAAGCTGTACATTTCCTCTTGACAATATCTATGTTCTTGTTGGCAATAAAGTTTATCGACAGGTTTTAGGTATTGTTATGGACGCCAATTGCACCCCGTTAATAGCAGACTAGTTCTTGTATTGTTATGAATCATGGTTAACGGTAGAACTCATTAAAGATCCGTCTAAATTACATTCAATTAATAAATTTACACTTTTGCTTTTAATTTCAATAATTTTCTAAATTTACTGCTGATATTAACCCACAGTAACTTATTTAAAACAAATCTAATACAAGCATTAAGTTTCCCTTCTATATTTGTCTATTTCAGTTTCACATGGGAAATGATATACTAAAATTCATGACAAAAGAGACGATTATTCGTTTCTGATTGATACTTTTCTATTTTTGGACGGTGGTGTGCTTGTAGTCCCTTCTACAGCTGTGTAAACTTTACATTTTGTTCGCTATGAAGATGTCTGTGAACGAAACTTTATCAAGTCGGGTAAATCATTGAGTCACATAAAATCTTTCCAATTCTTTGATAGATACAAAGCTTTTCTTTAAAAACTTTGGGAGTATCTGTAGAATTCTTACACACAACTTCATATCATTACTAATTTTTACGGTGATGCTGGTTAGACAGACCGTTAATTTGACACGATCCATGTAAACTACATGAACTAATTGATCCTCTGCAAAAACTAATTTGTAAAGGTTTTCAATTTTCACTCAGTAGTAAAATCTTAAAATATTGTTTGTATTGGTACTAGGTTTGAATATTTTTGTTGGAAAAATGAAATAATAAAACACACTAAAATTTATTTTGCTATATAAGCACAGTTAGCGGCGAACTCATAATCCTATAACATGTCGATACTGTTGACCAATAGTTTCGGTATTACACAAGGCCATGCGTTTCTCTATGACTTTACGTTATATCCTTTGGTTGTGTACTGATTGATATTTTATTCTGGTTGAACATAATTAAATTAGTTCACGATTTTCATATTTGTTTTCTAATGAATAAGGCTGTTAGTTTTTGGTTTGATTGCTTCATATTGTTCAGGTTGGAGTCTTTTGTTAGAAACTATACGGTATGTTTTTTGTTCATTGTCAAAGGCCATACGATGGCCTATAATTGCTTATAAGCAATTCATTTAACTCTGGTAGATAGTTATTTCATTTGGAATCATACCAGATATCCTCTTTGTTATAACTTTATTAGGCGCTTGCATCCATCCAGATGAAATCAGATGCTGATGAGAAGTTATTGCAGCTTATCGTACATTTCGTTTGTTTAACCACATCTTTCTATAACACCCAATAAACAAAGTGGGTGTGCCACTTTTTTTTATAGGATGCTGATTTAAGGAACTGTTTTGCATACGAAGTTTTGAGTGATAAATTTGACCTAATCAGTTACCAATGTAAACATGCTAAGGGGATTTAGTCACCAGAGACAGTAAACAACTCCCCAAAGCTCCTACTGAAGTACTATTTTTAGCACTCTCAGGGAGGAGATATCATGAAAGTACAGTTGCATGCAAATATTAATTCGAAAAGGGCCCCTCTTGTTGAAACAAAGAGGATTAGTGAGAAATTTCGAGTATTATGATTAGGTATAGTTGCATTGAATTCTGGAACAAAATTATATATTTCGGAGTAATATAATATTCATCTGGTAGAAATAAATTAATCTTAGGACCTACTTTCAATCTTTAAGCTATTTCCAAACCTTTTCGAGATGTAAGCTCTAAAGAAACCAGCCTACGATAGGCCAATAGTTTTTATAGTCACTTGGGGAATCTGTTTTAGATACAGAAGTAACATTAGCACATTTCCAGTCGGAATGAACTAGCTAAGTGACAAAGACAGTTTAAATAATCTGCAGAGTTGATATTTCAAAATTACATATGCTTCTTTGAGAAGTATTGGGCTTACACGAGCTTTTGGTAGTCCAACATATTTTAAATGAATACTACCTTGTTATTAGATATAACCACATTATAACTAAGTTCCTCTGTTCGTCTGTCAGTTATGTTTGGCATTTGTGTGTTAGAGTCACCAAGATTATGATTGACTAAAGAAATAGTCATTGAAGAATCCTGCCTTTGTGTAACTTACAGATCAGATCATCGTCTACCTGTAAAGGGGAAATGTTGCGACTGTCACTGGAGTCACATTTCATCAAAGATTTAACGAAGCTCTAACATTGTATAATTTTAGTTGACATTTTTATGTTGCACTTTGTAAATACAGCTGTTTCTCAAAATCACGTCTCTATTAGGGAGATATATCATATTCATAGATATTTTGTTTTGGTTACGTACTGGTTCCAAGATATGATCTCTATGTTTCATCTCATAGAGACATAACTTGGGAATATTACCAGTAAAAAAACATGGTTGCGGTGAAAATTGAATTCTGAAGTAGGCCCAAAGTGAAGGTAGGGGGAGTTCAGAATTTTAGCATAAGTTTAAACTCTAACAAGTTCGGGGCATATAAATGTTGAGAATACGCCTGAACAAATTGACCTTTTAAAAAACCGACACTATCGTTCAAAGTCAATCTGGTAGACATATGAAAATGACAAATTCTTATCAATTTAGAAAAAAAAACGGAGTTGTCATTGATTCCAAAATCTTGCCTTAAAGATATTGGGTACTTTTACGAAAATAATCAATTCCAAATAGTCAGTTTAAGTAGGATTTACATGTTGGGAAGAAACTACCATGGGGAGATATTTAGGACAATTTGAAAAAGAATTTCGCTAACAGGAAAGCGAAACAAAGTTATTGGAAGTTACTTCATAATATAATTCACACGGAAGAAAGATTACAAAAGATGAATCGCTCAAACAGAAAGTGTCACTTAATGAAAGCAATCAGTATTTACAATTACAAGGAAGAAACTCATTAGATTTCATTTTTTTCATTTTTCGTTTTCTATTTATTGCTAGCCATTGTAGAATACAGGGAAATAATTATTTAAGTCTTTTATATACTAATAATACACTATCAGATAAAAACACTTTTTAATAAAGGCTAGCGATGTGTTAACTGGGGTGATTAACACACAAACTAAATAAAAGAACACATGACTTTTGTGTTCAGTTTGTGAGTCAGCGGTCTTATTAACATATCAATAACCTCTGGAAAATATGTTTTATCCTTATAATTCTATCTCAAACATTTGCCATTTAGTTAACAATTTTCTGCATTTGCCGTCAAATCTACAGTGGACAAGTCTCTTCTTAGGAACGAGCCACCATATTGACGTGCTGAAATCCATTAATGTTCAATGAATGCATTCAAATTAAAATTGGAACAACAACCACTCAAAAATTCTATTTTAATGATATATTATCCGATTTTAAAGCGTATATAAACCTGGATTTGAGAGTTCATTGTGTGACGTCACATATTGCCATGCGTCATTCGTGCGATTTCGAAGAATTTGGTTTAATCATAAATTTATATCTTTCCCAAACTCTAATCTTTGTGTTGATAATGATAATGTATTTTAATAGGAAAACTTTTCTGTAGCTTTTTTTTCAATTTCAATTTTCCTGGAACCATAGGACGGCATGAATGTGTATCGAATCACGCATGAATAGACCCCAGTAAAAATTGACATAGTGTTTACATACGAAATTAAAACAAAACAGTTTTAGCAACATGGTTTATCGAAGTGTAAACCAAGAGAAAAAGCTTTAACGAACCAATTCTAGCTATTCAAGTATTTGTAGATGTGAAAATCATGAT